AGAGAGAGAGAGAGACAGACAGACAGACAGACAGACAGACAGACAGACAGACAGAAAGACAATCACAAAGAAAAAGGAACCTTCGCCTCCGGCTGACCTCCTCCTCCTCCCCCTCCCCTCCTGCACGTCTCATCCTCCTCCAGTCCACCTTGACTGCTCGAGTCCTCGAGTCCTCGTCTGAGTCATCTCCTCCTCTGCTGGCCCCTCCCCTCTTGGGAATCTTCTTCTCCTGTCCTCCTCTTCTCTTCTACGTCTCCTCCTCCCCTCTGCCTTGTCACCGGCTCCTCCTCCTCCCCTCCGCCTTGTCAGCAGTTCCTACTCCTCCTCTTGTGCTCCTTTTCTACTCCTCCAACTCCTCTACTCTTCATCTCACACTTGCTATGCCTTTACCCCCCTGTCTCACCTTCTCTCCCAAAGGCCCTACAATGACGCAACTTCATGCAAGGCACTGTCAGTGAAGGAAGATTCTGAAGCATGTAGGCAAGGGGGTTAAGGAAAAGCGGAACATCATCATCATGATCATGCAGGCCAATCACTCTGCTGACAGTTGTTTATAAAATGTTAGCTAAAGCCATTGCAAATAGATTAATCCCAATAATGACGGACATTATTCATCCCTCTCAAACAAGATTTATTAATGGAAGAAATATACAGGATAATGTCTTGTTAGTCAATGAAACGATCAACCTATCTAGGCAAAATAAACAAAATATGGCATTCATATTCATTGATTTCAAAAAAGCGTATGATCATGTAGATTGGCGATTCTTGGATGCATGCCTAGTCAAGCAAAATTTCAGGACGGGGTTAAGAAGGTGGATACAAATACTTCATTCAAATGCCACGACAAGAATACAAGTTAATGGCCTACTATCCCCCGAAATTCCGCTTCAAAGATCAGTAAAACAAGGTGATCCTCTAGCCCCCTTTCTCTTTGTAATTATTATGGAGGCATTAGGTGCCAACCTCAGGACAAATCGTAATCTCCAACGTCTCCGGATCTCTAATATACCTGAAGAAGCAATTCCAATCTACTTTTTTTTTTTTTTTTTTTTTTTTTCAAGAAACAAGCTCCATCTATTGGTGGGGAGCAGCACCTGCTGGAAACCGGGTCCAACGTCCCATAGATACAACCATATCCTCTTTTTTCACAAGTAGGCACAAACTGGGAACCGGGCCCAGCATCCCATTATAGGCAAGTTCAAAAAAGTCTTCAGAAGATTCCATGAAAGTGAGGCTAGGAAGCTACACTTTTGAAAATTAAGATACTAGGGTCATTGCCCGGTTTGAATCAGAGATATTAGAACCGCTTCAGACATATCTACCCCCCAAACAGCTCCCCTAGTCCCCACTCCAGCAAGACTTACTGCAGCAGAGTCACCATCCCTGCTGCTGCTATAACTGCGATTTCGTCAAAACGTTCATTTTTTATTTTTTGCGCGAAATTGAAAGTCCATTTTTTTTCGATTTGTGTATGTATTTTATGTAGTGTTTTATGGGTATAGGGGGTAAATGCATAAGCTGTAAGGGGTAAGGGGTAAGGGGTAATATGGGTAAGGGGTAAGGGGTACGAGGTCATATGAAGTAACACATGAATGGTATCCAATCGGGCATTTCGCGTTGTTGCTTTGTTAAATACATTCAGACATTCTCATGCGTATCTATCCAGCAGAGCCAATGATCTCTTTACATTTGCAAAACAATAAACAAATGTTTTGCTTTCATAATGTCATCTATCAAATGTTATTTGTTGCACAAGTAACTCCTATTTTGGTGTGATAAGTACATCTAAAGCGATCCGTCCCCTTATATTGTGGATGTCGTCGAAAGAGAAGTTGAATGGCGGGAGAAATCCTCTTGCCAACAGTGACGCATATGTTAGCATAAAGACACCGCATTCGTTAATGTCGCGTTGTCTAGGAATGCCTGGCACATTCCATATGTGGTTGAAATCTTTTGTATCCACCACCTTTCTCTGTTCAACCGATCTTTCGAACAAGAATGTTGCGAAACCACCTGTCACTTTCCTTGCCAATTCTTTGTCAGGCGTAAGCGAGTCGTAGTACTCCATTTTTTGGCGCCTTAGGTCAGCTATTACTAGTGTGCAATGGTTGGAATTATGGACATGGAATGAAACTATTATTAAGTCCACGTCACCCACATCGATATCTGTCATCCACTTCTGCACTGCGCTATATTGGTATTGCATGTCGTCATCGAACAATTTCGCGAAGAAGAAGGAACTACATTTTGTTGTTATCGGGATGCGCGCTTTTCCTTCTACTACTGTTCCGTCTTGTCCACTATCACACTCGCGATGACTTATGCGACACATGTTGTCAAGCCTTACGAGGTTCAAATAAAAGTTAACTATTTCGTTGTTTAACCCATTGCCTTAATACAGTATCAAACTCAAATCATGCCCGGTTAGTGTTAGTTCTTTTTTTGTTGGCCCGTTGTACGTGGATGTCCAGACCGTCCAATTCTCCGCTTGCACTGAATCTCGTAAATGTTGCACCGCGGCCGTCTCCTTCTCCGATAACTTATCCGTTGCTAAGTGGATCGTCTTTCCCTGTTTGCATCTTCGTACTTCTTCTATGTTCCTCCTTTCTGCACATGACAATGCATTATGCCGCAGCGTAAGCTATCGTGATCGGGGCCTGCCATATTTGCATGCTCGAAACGGCGGATAAAATTTCAATTGCTAAGTCCTGGCAACAGGATACTATAGCGAGTTGACATGAACACCCCGACCTCCATCTTCCTCGTAATATGGTGCATAACACAACTACAATTCTTGCTCAATTTTCGTGTACTTTTTGAAAGCAAATAGATCAATGATACTTTTCGCGATCTATGGTGGTTAACGGTAACCCTGCTTCCATCAGTTCTCTGATGTTCATGTTCAGTACT